ACAGTTGTTATCTGCTCGGATTAAGCGGCGTTTGTCTGTCAGCGACAACACAGTGGTGATCCAGCTTTTCATCGGGGGATAAGAATTTCCACCACTGACAGTACTAGCAAATTAACACGTCTTTGATGCGCATTCATTGCCATTTCACACCATCGTCAGAGGATGAAGCAAGCAAGGGTCGCGTTTACAGTGCGACCGTTCGGGCGGTGTCGATATATGAAAGCGATTCGTGGCCAGTTCGCGTAGTTGACATGCGCTAGCTCGGCTTTCGATAATGGGTGCTTAAAGAGGATTGCTCGTATGTGATAACAGCAAAGTATCTGCAACGCTGAAATCCGACGTTGTGTCTTAGAGGATTCGAGTATTCCCTTCAACAAGCTGGTTTTTCTGCGTTAGTTAAGAAGGCTTGGTCGCCTCCTGCGTTTGTCAACTGAACGCTTGCTTCATTGCGCCCTTTTCGCTCGTGCAAGACCTGTCTGGAAGAGACCGAGTGGCGGTCAGCCGTCCAATTGGCGACAACAAATGAAATGGTTAACTTCACGTCTTGCTGCTGTTGGATCCCCACGTCTGCTTGGTTGGGGATTGAAGACGTGCAGTGCCGATTTTTTGACATAATTGAGGATATGACGCGCGATCCAAACCGGTGGAAGATCTATGTATGTACTTGTTTATATTTAACTGCTTATTGCTTGACAATTGAAAAAGACAACAAATTGAAAACAATGCATGTGAATAAATGAGAAAAGGTTCCTTCTTCTTTCAGTGCTGTGGCTGAAGTGTGTTGTTCACCTTCAGCTAATGTGGCATGTTGATGATGTAGTGAATAGACCTGAGACTTCCATGGTTTTCGTTTGGCTCCATATCTGTTCGTTAGTCTGTTGCCAATACTTCTAGTGGATGTTTGGCACCAAACCCTTTTGTGCCATGCTGATTGGCCACTTGAATTTAAACTACGTTGGCTTGACCATGCACCTTGAGTGACAGCCACATGGGTCTTTAGTGTTCCTCCACACGTCAGCCGATAGAGTGAAATCCAATATTTGTGGAATATTCACTTGGTCAAGTGGCACGCGCAAATAGAGCGAAAAATTTGCGGAACTGTCGTACGCTGTCTTCCTGAATCTGCTCTATGGATTTGTCACGCCACTGGTTAGGTACCCTGTATGCGGTGACGCAGTCGGGAAATATGCGTCGTTCTCGCTTTTAGTCAGCATTTTCACTTGCAGACATTTTCCGACTATTATACCTCACTGTGTCACATATGTTGTCCTTCTACCTGTTTGCTTCTCCTTCTTCTGCTTCTTCTTCCTGATAGTCTATTTTTTATTGTCAGCGCGGCGTAGCTCACTGCCTCGTATCTCAATCGTATTCGGCTGTTCGACCTGATGCCTGAAAATGACGTGCGTGTATATCCGGTTTCCTTACCACTTTGTCTTGATTTGCACTCTGGCTGAAACGACGCCACACGCATATGATCTTCCGCTGTCATCTTCCTTGTCTTCTCTTCTCCACTGGATCCATCTCTTTGTGCTACTGTCCATCCTTGAATGGTGTGTTGAGCGGTACCTTTCGTTACTAAATTTGCTCTACCACTGTTCTATGGGCTCTGTGTAATGACTTGATCTCCTTGATTTTTTCCGTCTGATTGGCGCATTCAGGTTGCCTTGCACCTCTTCCTTCTCAAGTCTACAATCGAAATGGATGTATAAGTTGTCTTTTTCTCCTTTATTAATCGTATTCTCTGATCACAGACTGTAAGTCTTTGTTCAGACACGGCATAGAACATGATACTCTTCAGCATCTTCTTCCTATCTCCAACTTGTATTTTGAGGCTGCAAACCTGGGTATATCCCACAAAAATTCAATATCATGGAACACCTACTTCAGTTGACAGTTTGTGTGCTTATCGACATTTTGCGTTCAATTTCTGTGGCCCCACTGATCTGTGGTGATATCGCGGTTTTTGCTTGCAGACGAAGAGCAGACGTTGCAACTATTCGGCGCTATCAGTTTTGCTTTATTACTCCTCGAAACGGTCTGTTCGCATCGACAACGCCAATGACACTGTCGCCTTGGGCAACGATTCCTGCGAGGCATCGTTTGCCTTTTGTGTGAAATCACCGAATAATTATCTCTGAGCTCTTCCGTTGATGCTTGGCAACGGTCCCTCTCGTACGGTCACAGTAGTAGTGTGTCGCATGGTCTAAACTACCCTCGTTGTCTTTTCCAAATTAATCGCATTCCTTTATTCCACGGACATGATGCCCTAACATGTATATTTTACCAATTGTGCACCCGATTGAGTAAAACCACAGGACAAGCAGTTGATGTAGTGAATTAAAGGTATAACTCTATAATTGCTCAGACTGTCGTATTCTGTCTTTTTCTCGAGTCTGGCTCTATGTCTGGTTAATAGACTGTTAAGGATACATACATACATACATCTCGAGTCTAGTTCTCGGGATACTCCGCGATATCTGTTTAATAGTGGATCTGTTTTGATCCAATTAGGAAGCCGGCGATGCTTTCGCATCTCGCTGTTAACTTTTGCTTCCGGAACTGTCAGCGACATAAATCCGGGGCAAATACATTTACTCGTTGGCACAGAGTAATCCCGATTCGTCGTGCCATAGGTATCAGTTTTATAAACACAAAAGATTCCTATTAAGTTGTTCTCAAAACGGTTGCAGTTTTCTTTAATCTTAAAATGCAGGTACCCTTATCGTGGTCCAAAGTTAGCATTTTTCATTGAAATAAAAGTCGCTCGAATTGACATACTCGCCAGCGGGGAACATGTTTGTTTATCCTGGATGAATATAATTCCGAAGTTGTGAGGTCGATGAACTCGTGGATTGCGGCCTCAACGTCTCTGAATTTTGAGACATTTCTCTCGCAGGAAGTTATCCAGCCGTGTGAGAAAGGGGTAATCGGTAAGCGACAGATTATCAATGGTGGGTGAGGCAGTTTTGTTGCCATGCTGCTGAAGCTTCTTCAAGGTAGGTTGTGCGACATGCAGTCGAACTTTATCCTGGAGTAGAATTGGTCCCTTTCTGTACACCAATGCCCCGGGCACATATGTTAATGTTTTCATTGCCTTTCTGCAATTTGTCGACAATACGTCTCCGCGGTAACGATATTGCCTGGGTTCGGAAAGCCGTGATGTATCAGATCGGCTACAGATCTTCAAACAGCCACCCTGAGCTTTTTTGAGTCAACATCGGCTGTGGGAAGTGTTGTGGAGCTTTATTGGGGTCCAATCACTGAACAGAGCGTCGTCGATTATCGCACAATGCGATCAAGAAACGAGTTCTTTTTATTGCCTAGAACAAGGGCCAATGGCATTTCAGAACTACGATTTCTTTGGTTTTCAGCCATTTCATTCGGCACCCACTCATCAAGCTTATTCAACATTCTACTCTCCTGTTAAAGTTTAAAAATTAGCGATACTGCTAAGTCAAAAGCAAGGGTTCGCTTCAACTGAGTCCTTTAGTTGATCGTTGTCCACTTCCGATTGCCGTCCACGATGCTTACCTTCGAAGTTTTCGTTATCTTTTCATCATTTTTGAAACCGCGATTGTGCAATACATTCGTTCGTGGTTCTGGGAATGGATGCCCTGTTGAAATCACGAGCTGTCTCTGTTGCTTTCCGACCAAGTTGTACAAAAAATTGCGCCGATGTTTTTTCTGATCATCTTTCATTAAATGTGCTACAACACAAGCGTAAACACGTATTTTTAGCTAACTTTTTACCACTAAAAGACCGAAAAATACGCTTCAAAATGATACCGAGAATCAAAGCATCTTGTCAAAGATTTACTCATAATACAGATGTTAATAGTAACATATCAAAATTCGCAATATCTTTAGTAACAACCTAGCAAATCCTTTGATGAGTCCTTTTGGCTACGACTTCATTTGTGACTCCACTGAGATAAATTGCAATGGGTCCCGTGAACTAGTCTAATGAATTGCCGTAATTCGTGCCCATTCGCCACAACCGCACACATGCGGTTGTGGTTTGTGGTATCTTTTCTTTGGTTGGTCGAAGGCTCGCCAACCATCGTGCGTGCCTCGAGCTTACTAAACGGCTGTGTTCTTTAGTTGTATGTGGGGGACTCAACAGCATGAATGATGTGCTCTTACAATTTGGCACTCTGTGGTTGGCTTAGCAAATACTGTGTTTCCATTGTGTGTTACGGTATGTATTTCTAGATTTCTCACTTTGTGTCTGATTGGTCGCAGTGACGCAGGTCCGGTAAAAACGGAAACCATTAAGACCGGCCATTCGTCCCCGTTTACCCATTTCCCTTACATAACTATTATTTGCATGTTTCTTTTCGTCTTCTCCAACGTCCATGTTATTTGAAACATCGTTTTTACGCTATGTACTATGGATATATCAGTCCTGTGGGAATACGCTAACTAATTTCAGCACTACAGACCGTATTACATCCTTTATTCTTTAATAAAATGCGTCGAAATACTGCTCATTTTTGGGAATTTGTTAATTCCTCCAAGACGAAGCAACGTATCAATGGGTTAAAAATCCTACTGATTCTCCTTAGCGGCATGCGATCGTTGCTCGAACATGTGGGACTGCTCACTTAAGTGATCTCTGCGCATCCTTCCTCCATTTTGCTTTTCATTTGTGAAATTTCGCGTAGTTAATGATGCTGTTTTAGTCCATCCGCGCAGTCGGTAGTGTAAGCTGCTGAAGATGCACCCTTCCGGGCAGAAAAATCCTATCTTAACCTGACTTATGGCGTTTTCGAGTCACTGCAGCCTACGTGACCACATGGGGTATATGAGTGCCTATCATCCGACCAAGAATCAACTTGCGGCAAATCCACATTGTGTCCGTATACTGCTTCATTGCTCCCATAAGCTTCCTTCTCGTACATTGATTACTACGTGTTATTATCAGCATTCAGCTGAGTTGGCCACTCTCCGTTCGTTCTATTGATTTTTGTCTGCATCCCCTTCTCTCATTTTTTTATCAGCCCGACTGTCTGGCTTGCAATAATGTACCCAAAGAAATTACCTTCTCTGCATCCAACACTCTCGGTGACGTGATCAGTCGATTCACGGACAGTGCAGAGTAGTAAGTAAGAGATTTGCAGCAGGCCAATCACCGACTGATCTTCGTTTTTAACTCTGTTATCTCAAATCTTCCAGCTATGACGGTTTTTCGTCTAGTACCCCACTTGACACGGTACTTTGTCCCGCGATTCCGTGAGGTTGGATTCTTCAACCACTTAAAATTGATTGGTTTTCAAATCTTTCAAGGGGTGTGTTCACTCGTCCGCAGCTAATCCATCCCGGTCTCAAGATACTGTTTACACTTCTTTTCCGTTTTTGGCTTCATAATCGTACTCCACTTGTTTTTGGTAGGTATCAACAAGAGCTCCACTGTCGCATTGTCGGTACGCCTCAATGTGATGTATCGTTTTGGGTGCCCTCCTTCTCAACTGAGCTCTAACATGTGGTTCTATTGAGCACACTGATACTTATTCTTACCGGATTAGTCAATGATTAGAGGCCAACCAAACTCACTTTCCTTGTCCGACCGGCACTGGTTCTTGTCAAAACCGATATCATCTTGTGACCGTTACCAGTCTTCTGCCATCTTATGACTAGCATTTTAAGTCTACGGCTCTGACCGAGATCCTAATCGTACTTTTGCTTATGATTGGGGTCATAGTAGTGTCTCGGCCCACTTACAGCCATGGTTATTACGATAGAGTATAACTCCGTCCTTAGGTTAGCGTTGGTTAAACCAGTTTCAGTTGCCCACTTTCTTCAACTTATATTGTTTGCCGCTGTTGCAACCAGTTGAAACCATGAGGTGGGCGGCCGAAAGCAGTGCAAGACGACAAAGAAACTAATTTTAGGCACTTCATCTAGCTGGTTCGTCATGTTTTTCTGCATGGGAGCCTAGGAATCGCTCACACTAGTTGTTGGAGGTATATATATATATATATATATATATATATATATATATATATATATATATATATATATATATATATATATATATATATATATATATATATATATATATATATATATATATATATATATATGCATGTAGTTAGAGGTAGGAAACACCTCAGCTACTGTGCCACAATACATCAAGGAAAATAAAAACAACAGTTGCATGCCAGCTGAGCTACCAGCAACGGATAGGCATCGTTCCGCTAAGCTACCAGCCAGCTACTAGGCAAAAGGAAAAATTATTATGTTTTACTTTACGAAATGAGATCGTAGTTGGAGGGGGAGGTAAAAGGGCTGGGGAGGGACAAAGAAACTCCAAGCAGAGACGCCACTGTGGTCGGCTCTTTGCCATGTCAGCAAGTGTACCCAGCCAAACGTGTTTACCGTCTTTTGGACCCCAACCAGGGAGCCGTGACGCCCCAACCGACTCCAGTTTCGAAGTGAGGGCCTTCATTCCTCTCGACCAAGTCATCGCTTGGCCAACCCTCCTCTTCTTCCATCCACCTCCCCGGTGAGCAAACACCTCTGGGAGCTGTCACAGATGAGGGCAATGTCGTCTACATACTCCAAGAAGTTCTCCTGGGAGTAGCTCCACACCTTCCATGTCATGTCCTGTAAATGAAATTTGCATGACTTCGTCAATAGCGAAGTTGAAGATGGAATGTGACAGCAGGCATCCTTGTCTCCCACCGCTGGAGATATTGAAGGGTGGCGACAGGTTGCCGTAAGCCCTCACTCTGCCCGTGCTACGCGCATATAATGCTTGGATAATATTTACATATTTCTCGGGCACACCTTTCCTGAGTAAACAATTCCAAAGGGCACATCGATCAACCGAATCGAAGGCACCTTTGATGTCGAGGAACACGACTATGGTGGGCCGCCAAAATGTGTGACGGTGATCCACCAACTGACGCAAGGTGAAGATGTGGTCCATGCAGCAACGATCCCGACGAAACCCAGCTTTCTCGTCACGAATCTGGCTTTCACGAGCGCTAGTCAGTCTGTGAGGGATTATGGAGGCGAGTAATTTGGAGGCGATGGAGATCAGACTGATTCCTCTATGGTTGCCGCATTCCGAACGCGAGCCTGCTTTGAAGGTGGGAACAATAACGGAGCGGCTTTAGTCGGATGGGACAGCCTCCTGCTCCCACAGTTTCACTGGTATTACAACAAGAGCAGAGCCTCCGAATTTGAAGAGGGCTGGAGGAAGATCATCTGGTTCCGCGGCTTTGTTCAACTTCAACAGTCCGATCTCACATTCGACTTCTGAGCGAGAGGGTTTATCCAAAGGTACAGCCCACGGAGCAGGGCGATCAGTGACCGACGAATCGAACAATTCTAGCCGACTAAATTGCTTTTCAAAATGCTCAGCCCAATGCTCCAAACGTTTTGACAAATTGTGGATAGGCTGTCCACTCTCATCACAAATTGTTTCACTAACACCAGGTCTCCTGCTGCCCGTTTCTCGTATCAGAAGGAATAATTTACGATGGTTGCCAAGGGCAGCGGCCACTTCCATCTCTGACGCACGATGAGACCACCAGGATTCGCGGTCTCTCTTCAGACTGGCACGGAGTCTTGCCCGGAGTTCTTTGCCAATTTCATTGTGTTCGCTTCCAGCCGGGATATGCCGGCGAGTATCTATAAATTCCAGAGACGGTGAAGAGACCCAATATCCATGTTGGCTATTAGACATACCACATGAGGATTTTCCTGCTGCTAGTAAGGTCTGGTGAACATGTGACCAGTGACCATCAGTTGTCTCCAGTGAGCGCTTACTCAACTCGCATGTAAGCGTAGTTCGATGCAGCTGGCTTTGTCAGTTGGCTGGTGTCAATGCGCTCACAGCGTCGTCGTGGGCGTCCGCCAAAATGCATCCTCATGTCAGCACATACAAGTGCATGATCGGTGTCCACACTTGTGCTCCAAATCGAGCGACAGTTCTGGATGCAGCCTCTCCATCGGTAACTTATCGCAATGTGATCGATCTGCGTCCATAGTTGGTTCGGGGCTGGTGGGCGCCAAGTCTCCCTCCGGCGGGTGCTGTATCGGAAGTTAGTGCTCGCAAGAAATAAGTGAGCATGTTTACACAAATGAAGTAACCACTCACCGTTATCACTACGGGAGCCTACACCATGTTGGCCTCCCAGATGCAGCTCATCAGTGGACAACTTTCCAACTTGTGCGTTCAGATCCCCCGCCAGCACAACAGCGTCTGTGCTTCTTCTGTGACGAAAGACGTAGGTCAGTTGGCGGTAGAAGTCGTTCTTGACCGAATCATCCCTACAGTTTGTGGGTGCGTAGGCAGCGATGATGCATATGCATCCCACGCGACTTCGAATCTTTGAACGAGCCAGCCAATCGGACCGCACACATCCGGCTACTGATTGGAATCCAATCAACCAGCGTAGCTTCAGCCCGGGGACTCAGGGCAATGCCAACACCAGGTTGGCCGGTGCTCGAAGCTGCATCGTCACCGGATAGGCGCAATGAGAAAGTGCTGCTAGTGTCACCTGAAGGGGATCTCAGAGTGAGCACAGAGCTCGAGTCTTGCAGGCGGGTCTTCGATAAGCAGCAGATATCGATCGAGAGGGTCTCCAATGTTCGGGCAAGTGCTGGCTGTTGACCGATCTGTAGTAATGTGCGCACATTGAGGCAAGCCATTCTGGAGGTGGATCGAGGGCTCCAAATGTAAGCCGATGAACTGCAATGGACCGCTTGGTTGGACATGGGCTTGTCGACAGGAGAGGAGTGACGCTCCGCGTTCACATGTGAGTTGAAATTAGAAGATAAACGCCTAGCAAAGCATGTTGGGGGAGGGCCAAGAATCGGGGGATTGAAAACTGGGGGGATAAAAGTGAAGTTGGAACGGGACGGCAAGAGTGAAAAAGCATAAGATGGGGAATAAGAAGACCGGAATGCTTGAGCAGTAGCATCTAAACTCCCATCCACCCTGCTCGATGCAGCAGATAGGGCACCGTAGATTATCCTCTGCGGTGGCCAGAGCATCAAGAAATTGTTTGAAGTAAGCTTTATAGTATTGCGTGGGCAGGATACTGTCAGGTTGCCCAGGCCTAGACAGGAGAACGATTAGGGTTCTCAACCATAGTCTTTGGTTCAAGAAGCTGACCGCCGGGCAGTGGGTTTGGCGGTGGGATAAAAGGAGTCCGCTTTAAGGAGTAAGGAGCCATCGTGATTCCAACCCCCAACCTGGAGGACAAGGAGGCTGAGTTGGTCTGGCCACTAACCATTGACCAATCTGGTATGAGTGACTCTGAAGGTGCAAAGGCACCACTCAGCATAGCTCATTGAATCGCTGAGGCACACAAACCATGGCACCACGGTAAGGTCCAGTCTCATTGCGATGGTAAAGGAGAATGTAATGTTCATCGTGGAGAGAGGGTAAGACGTTAGAAAAAATATTTTGGTTTCACACACGCCGTTTTTCGTTTTTTTGTTTTGTTCAACATTAAAAAATACAGCATGAAGTGATGGCAGAACAGCATTGACGCCACTGACTCCTTTTGTGGGCCATATCCTCCAAGACTTTCAACCACTGGGAATCCGCTTCACGTCGTCCCCAGCCTGGGAGACGCACGGATCCAGCTGACGCTAGACACCAAGTAAGAATCTTCATACTCCTTTCCCCAGATCATCGGTTGTCCGCCGCGGCTCTTTTTCCATTCGCGTCCAGGAAGTGCAAGTAATGCTTGACGTGGAAAGGCGGTGGACCTGCGTGCGCAATACGTGACCGAGCCAACGCAATTGATGCTGGATGATTATGCTCTGGAGACCAGGACTGTCCGCTCCTATGAATCTGCTTCTAACTTCCGCGTTGCTCACATGGTGATGCCACTATACGCGCGCAATCGAACGCAAGCATCGGTTGTCGAAAGTAGACAGTCGTCTCAAATGTTCCGATCGAACATGCCAACTCTCGCAGCCGTACAGTAGGACAGCACGAACTGTGGCATTGTACACTCTGCTTTTGAGCTTGAGACTGACAACGCGACGACGCCAAAGTTTCTCAGATTAGTAAATGCTGGACGAGCTTTGGCAGTTTCTTGTGAAATTTCATCGCCAATACCGCCATCAGCTGTTATTCAACTCCCTAGGTAAGTAAAGGTGTTAACGAGCTCCAGACTGACACCAAAAATGGTGAGCACAGGAGCCTGTCAATCCTAGAGCAAAGCTTTACACTTGGATGGACTAAAATACAGACCGTAGTTAGATGCTTCTATGACTAAGCCGTTCAGAATGTTTTAAACAACCTGCTGGTCGTCCCCCAGCAAAGCGATATCATCAGCATAGTCCAGGTCCACGACTCTGCTCCCGGGTCGAAGCTCAACTCCGCAGCTTTGGACTCCTTCACGTGCGCGATGTAGGACATCTTCCATGACAAAGTTGGATAGGAACGGCGAGATGAGACAACCTTGGCGCACTCCACTGGTAACGAGAAACAAGGTAGAAAGCCTCCCATAATCTTTAACTTTGCCAGAGTTGTGACTACACAGCTCTTTCAGGAGTATGACAAACTTGTCGGGAACGCCGTTCCGTAGCAGTTCCACAGTGACATCAGTGTATCAAAAGCGGCTCGGATATCCAAAAACACCACCACTGTTGGTCTTCGGTGGACATGACGATGTTCGAGAATTTGACGCAACATTAAAATTTGGTCAATGCGAGCACGGCCAGAACGAAAGCCAGCCTGTTCCTCACGATACAAACTCTCGCGGGTAACGAAAACTTTCGCGGCAGAATGGACACAAAAAGTTTGGACGCGATAGGGATAAGATTCCTCGGTAGTTGGTGCATTCACTACGAGAGTCCTTGTGGATCTGAACCACAACAGATTCTCCCCATGAGTTAGGAACTTTCTCATCGCTCCATGCCTTTGTGAACAGTGATAGAATTTCGGTAACAATTAGATTCCACCCAACTTTGAACAAGGTCGGAGGAAGACTGTCAAGACCAGGAGCTTTGTGGCCTCTCAGAGTCTGGATTTCTCTCCGTACTTCTGCTTCAGTGGGAGGATCTATGCAGACTGACCAAGGATCACATGATGGCAGTGGATGTGTAACCGGAGGTTGTGTTGGGTGATTAAACTGTAGAGCAAACTGCTCTGCCCAGCGATCCAGGTGTCTGCGTAGGTTGGTGATCTTTGTACCCTCTGACTCACAGTGGTCTGACTGATGGCCCGAACTTTGCATCTGGTGGATCTGATAAAACAACCTGCGGCTATTACCAGCGTAGGCAGCAACTTCCATTTCCTTGGCCTGATTAGACCACCAGGATTCACGGTCAAGTGAAAGACTCACTTTCAGTTGTCCGGAAATAGAACGGCGGAGCTCAGTGTGCTCCACACTGACGGGTATAGCTCGCCGATAGTCGAGAAGGTGGCCGAGACCCAACTTTTAGTTGTGCAGCGAACAAGACCACAACTGGATAAACCCGCTGAAAACATAATCTGTTGCACTCGCGACCAATGCTGATCAACATCCCCAGGAGGCGGAGAAGTGAGGTTCTCACGAAGCTGCTTTTGCTATTCCAATTGCACGGCGAGGTCTTTCAGTTTACCAGAGTTAAGTCGGGTCTGTCTGGTCCTAGGCGATCCACCAAACGCATGCAAATCGACGCACGCACTAGCGCATGATCACTTTCCATGCATTTTGACCAATAAGATCTGCAGTCCCGAATACTGCCACGCCAGTGTCATATCCGACATGACACAGTCCTAGGCTCAATGACGCTTGTGCATTGATGCATTTCACATCGAAGCGTTAGTATTGTAACTCGACTAACTCCCATCACCATTTCTCTGAACCCCTCTTACATCCCACCCAGTATTCCTACTCTTTACCCACGGTTGCTGGTGTTTACTATCCTATCCAGGTAGATGCCGGGGACCTCACAGTGTATCCAGACCTCGCGCGACTGGTGTTGGTCGCGTGACAGCGAAGTGTCCTTACAGTGTGCCATCGTACTGCTGATGACTTTGCTTATTATGGCTAATTCAGTCACAGTACATGGATGTACCGCACGTCAGCACTCGGATCAGCTGAACTTAACTGTTTCGGAACTTTGTACACTTGCCCTTGCAATTTCGCATATCGGCTCGGCAGACTGCAAACTGAATAATCCAGTTGCGTCATCCCGCTTTCGTACCTTGCTTTATTTGTTCCACGGATTGACTTCGCCTGCTACTAAAATTAGTCTTTTGAATGTTATAAGCCTTTGGTGCTCATCGTCACATTGTCGCCATTTCTTTCAACTCGGTAGCATTGATAGCACGCATGCCACCAGTGAGTGGGTGGTCTTACTTCAGCCATAATAATGGTGCTTTTTCAGCTTGTTTCATTATCCATCATCTAACTTAGCTATGCCCTGTGCTACCTAAGCCGCATGTCGTCAGATGACCAATGTTGTCAGTGTCCCGAAGCTAATTATTCCACACTGTCCACGCTATTCTCTTCCTCCCACTTCATTTCTAGTCAAATGAAGTCACCCAGCGTGACCACAGTGACAGAATCGGGAAACAAATCCCTGTTTATTGACCTACCCGAATTGGCCGTGGTGTTAAAACCTAATTTAACCAAATCTTTGCGAGGTAAGCTTCAAATGACTTTCCTTGTTGTTAACATGGCTGTTCTTCTACTGCAACGAACCGGTTAAATTCAGTGCTCGGTTCTGGTACACCGTCCATGTGTTGGGATTGCGACACGCAATCTTTATTGTGGCCTCGATCATTCTGGTTGCCGGGACCGTCTCCAGAATGGAGTGATAGCTGTTGCTTGCTCGCAGCATTACGCTCTATGACCGGTCGCGAGTTGGTTTGTTTGCGCTGGCATGTTTCCTTTTGTGAGCACAGCCGCGCTAATTTCGCTTCTCTTATCTCCATTTCGACTGCCTCTTACCCTAGCACTCTTTGTTTGTGGATGCTGACTCCGTATCCGATGTTTGCAGCTCCGTTCATCACCACTGCTCTGCACCCAATGGGCCTTTTCCTGTCTCACCTCCTGCGAATACTATTCCGCGATAGCTTGCACTTGACCACTTTTTGATCATGTCCTTGAAAAGCCGGAGAGATATAGTTATTCATGAATCCTCTACAAGGCAGTGAAGTACTCACATCATCATCTCAGCAGTTGGCCATTCTTTGTACACACCTTCCTTGCACTTTTTAGAGATTTTTCACCCGACTACACTTTAAGTGGCTTGTGGTTCGTTTGTACTTTTCATTTTCCCTATTGTCTTCAAGATCTCGGTTTGTGCAATGGGCAGATGCTTAACGTCAGTGATTCCACAACTCCCCGAACTCTTTCGTTTCGCCTACGCTTGGAAGAGCAACAAGAGGCCACGCCAACCGAATGAGAGTTCCATCGTGTGCCGACACTTCAAGACATAACGGCTATCCGGGATTGCGATTGCCTTATTCGACTTTCCTCCAATCATTCTTACGCGAGTTGTTGGCGTTTACTCCCGATTATTTTTATCTATGTATCATATACCATTTCATCCTCTAGTAGTTCTGTTAGCTTTGGGAGCATGTGCCTCATCTTTTGTACAGTCCATTTCCAACTGGGCGTGGTGATGCTCAATTCTTCATTAAAACCTTTGCTAATTATTAACCATCAGTAAGGTCCAAATCACTTGTATTTGTTGTGAGATGAGTGATGGCTCAAGACAATAGGACTGTCACCTCATCATCAACAGGATTACATCATCTGAACTGATAGTTCACTGCCGTACAACCACGGTGACCTACGGAACAAAGAATAACAAGAGGGAGAGAAGGGAGACCTAGCGTAAAGTCTTACTGCCCTTAACAAGCATTCAGGATCAAACCGCCTACACCTTATGTCAACAACATACCGTCACAAACAGCTGGCTATCGTGCAAAGATAAGGCGGCATCGGCGAGACAGTTTCATTGCTTTTTCACTACCCGCGGATATCTCAGCATCAAACACACTTCAAACAAGCAATCCGACTAGGAGACGAAAGTAGACACGCCACTGATGTCGATTGCGAGCCATGTCTTGTAACGTCTCGAGGCAAACAGAACGCGAGTGACGTGGACTCCAGCCTGGAAGGGGAGACAGATCGACAGCACCGAGTCGGGTCGTCAGTCACATCATTTCCCACTGCCGAGTCAACTTTTGTTTACCTCGAGTATGCGCCACCCTATATTTGGCAAACAAAACAAGGCCTTCGGTAAGCGGTGACCACGCATACGTACTAGGTGCCAAAGCCAAAACAATTTAATTAATGCTATATGATGTTCTAAGGGACTAGCACGATTATCACTGCCTAGCACTCGCTTACGGACACGTCGGTGCCGTCCGACACCAGCAGTTCTTCGTGGACAGCGATGATAAAAGACTCGAAGGTGCCTTTGCTTCTCAGATCGGAGAGGCCAGGTTTCACTGCTATAGAGTAGAACGGCCCTCACTGTGACCTTATTAATAGAGCAAGGGAAAGCTCTCTGAAACCACCGATGTTGTGGAGTCAAGACGACATTTGTAACTTTTGCAGTAGTGAACTGACCAGTACTTATGCGCCCACGGTTGCTGATTCAGCTGCCAAGGTAAGTGAAATTATCAACTTCCTCGGGTTTTTAGCTATCAAAGGTCAAGGGGAAATCAAGTGGCTAGTGGTCTTGCGACAACACAGCACTTTGAAGTTGTAAAGCGCGTGCCAAGTCACGAGCCTGTGTCTTATTCTCTGCAATAGTGTACGCGGCGCTGAACAGTGAGTTACGTAGCTATTCGGTTGGTACAATCGGGCAGCCTCCTCCCATTGTGGGACATGTTATACCATGCTACCGCGGCGCAAAATTTTTTTTACTTCAGTTTTTCTTAGCAGTCGAGATTCGTGCATTGACGTACGACTCATGCCGTTGTTTTCTCACCACGATGATATTTATCATGTCAACACCCCTAATAATAACTTAAGATGACTGATCAATACGTAAATTCGTCTGCCGTAAACGTCCGAAACGAGAGAACAAATGCACCGTTTGCGACGTGTCCGACCGCTGGATGTGACCGGTCTCGAGGTCTTCACCCAGATTACCGACAAGCACTAACTGATACACTCTGACCCTCAGTGAGTTTATTCACGCGCGATTCTTATGGCACTGACTGGTCGCCTCGGTGCTCCACCCGTACACACCTTATTCGCAAGTAGTACAAGCTGCGGCAGCCGAATTACACCTTTGTGGAGCACATGGCCGAGCCATCGAAGGCGATTCGATCCTACTACTAATGAGTCGGATTTTTGTTGGAATGTCACTGTTTTATCCCAGCAGATCCCAAGCTATACTGTGTAACCACCAATCCGGAAAAGCACCAAGCGATCGTTTCATCCTATTAGAGTCCGTCAGCAATGCGCATTCCCTCGGTCCCGCTCTGCGAACCGAACGTATGGCAACTAGCCGATTATGCCACTGTGCTATGGGGGACGGTGGTAGACCCTCACAACTTGCAAGCTAAGTAACTAACTAAATACATAAAAGTTTTACTCACAGCAATGCGAAACACGCTTGCATAGGCATGATCATGGATATAGTGCGACTTATCCTACACTGCCACGCCTGTTACTGCTGTGGCAGTGGACAGTGGCTGACCGTACGTCACGACGTCCTTTGTACAGCGTTTATGTACTCATAGCGTGTTTGATTACCAACGAGTAAGTGGATTTCGATGAAATTCTAGCATGATTTCCATGCGACACGGGAATGCCGGTATTCAATTTCCAAGTGATGAGCTTTACTCTGACTAGCTGGGCTCCTTCACTATACTGTTGTCGGCCGTCAAATACATCCATCCTCTTAACGTTCTCAGTTTGCAACAGCTAAGTCCGATCCATGCAACAACAGAAATATTCTTACCGTCTGGTTCTAAACCCTTAACCACTAAGGCTATATTTCACTTTCTCCATGAGTGGTTGACGCCCTGCGGAAACATGTGCCTCGAAGATGGGCGCGGTCTCTCATCCGTCTGGGACCGACCGGTTTGGACACTTTTCTGAGTACACTCGATCATCTGTGGTCCGTTTACCGAGGTGTGGTGTATTCGCTTTTACTTGGTTTATCTTACCTGTTGATAACAATGTAAATTAATACTAGTCTTTGTAGCCATAGTTACAAATGTCGGCTGACCCAAACTTGAAATCGGCTGCTGGACTCGTTACGGTTTAGAATTTAGGGCAATGAATTCAAGAACACATATGACTTTGTGGATGCGATATCGGATGACACAGAGTATCTGAAGCCGAGTACTCGACCTAAGAAAACGACACCTATTAATCCAACAGCCTCCTTGTGAGTTTATTTTGCATCATCTGCTACATCACGGTCTGGGTACCGCATTTTTTATCCAACCAGGCGGAGTACTTTTACACAGCACACGCTGAAACAGCCGGTTACAAAGTATGCAAATGACATTTGGCATGTGTAACTCCTGGTCACAGTGTTGGTATTTTTCGGAAAGTAAGAATTCCAATCAGCGAAGAAATTTCTTTTCGATACTTCAGGCTAGTGCATGCATAAAAAATGGTTAAAATTTCCATCTGATCTGCTGATCAGAGTCTCCAATCGATGAAGGTAATAACGCACATGGAGTCACGAAGTCACCGCCTGAGATCGAATTAAGCTGCGCTTACGCTGGGATCACACTCAGAGCAAATGTAGCGTTGGAAAGGTTGCAGGTTTTACTACGTTGCTTACTGGTCTACTTGGAGCACTCGAAGGAACGCTTCCACCGGTTAGAAGATACACTCCTGTGTCTTGGACATGTATGGTATCTAGACACTTGATTTCTGTGCGGCTTTCCAACGGAAGGGTAATCTGTTTAACACGCATAAACCGAACGATGCTTCTCTGTTCACAACGACCGATCAAAGCAAATGCACCATTGTTTTTGACACCAGCTATCTCTGATTCTTAGATCTGCCGTTTTCCTTTTAGCTTTCATCCGTTCGCTGTTTGTTTTGTTGTCAGAGGAGTCAGTACATCTTCCACCCGCTGCGTTCGACTCAGCTTCGATGCTTTACAACCAGAGTGAAGCTGAGGCCGCTCCGTTACGTGACACTAGCCCGCGAGCCATACGCCAGAGATCCGAGCTGGAATAGCAGTATTCCGCCTCCTCCAGACATCGGGCCGGAGAATGCTTTGAGTTGGAGCGATTTTATGGGGTTCCGGAATCCTGATGTACAGTTGATTGATGTTCGGAGCCCTAGCGAATTCCAGGAGGATCATATCTCAGGCGCCTTAAATATTCCGGTCCTCAGTGATCAGGAACGTTCCCATGTGGGCAAATTATATACGAACGGTGCGTTCTAAATATATCAATTTCGATTTGTTGTTATGTTGTGCTAGTGATTTTATTAGTGTCACGGTTGAATCCCTGTGCCCGTTTGGTTGATCTGGCAGGTCGTGAACTGTTCCAACGGCATCCAGTTGCGATTCAATGTCCTTGATTTGCCGATGACTAAATCCTCACTCTAATGTATGCCAGAAGAGGAACATAGTTTTGTCACCTTTCGTATCTGCACCATACAACTGCTGATTCGACCTCACCCTTTTTTGGTGTGCTTCGGATCTAGTTCTTGCTGTTGCAAACGTTTCTACTGGATATCATAGATTGGAATATTTCGTGGTTTTATTTTTCCTGTGAAATTGTGACTGGCCAAGCCTATATTCTCGAGTTGGGGCTTCTCATCTTCCTTTATGAAGCTCTCGAGATGGCATGCTGTACTGCCACGAAATTTGCGACGCTCTTGCACCTCACTTATTTTTCTACATATTTCATCTAGTAAATTTTTTCTACAATTACTAACATTATTCTTCAATCTATCTCAATTCTAATTGACCCATTGCATGGACCATAGGTGACAAGTTAAATTGAACTGGACTGTAATGCAACACTTTCTTACAATTACAGAGTAGTAGTAGTGGAGTTGAATGGTATAAATAGAAAAGCGTCGCATCTAGACTCACTCACGCAAGGAAAAGCACTCTATGTCCGTTTCATACTTTCGTGAAACGTCAACAGTAATCAGTAGGCAGATCAAACTGCTTATAGTGCCATAAGTTAAATGGCGTCTTAATTTTCGAAAATTCCTCGCTTGGTGTGAGGGCTACCCTGTCCTCTGCACGGCAGTAACGTGCAAATCAGTGGATAGTGAGGGGCGCTATGTCACATCTAATAACTTATTCACTATGGTCATTGTCGTCCCCCGTAACTCTGTGGTCTCAACCACTGACTGGCAACACTGGTGTTTTCGGTTCGAGCCCTACGTGAGTCAGATGGAATGCGCCATACTGACGATTCCCGAAATGATGAAACACGCGTACGGTGCTATTCCGGGCGTGTGATGCCTATATGAGTAAGTTTATACCATTTCCGAGTCATGTTAGGCCATACAGGTAAAAACTTAAGGTAACCAGATATCAATTTCATCTGGTACGCTAACAGGTTACTCCTTCCGATGAACAGAGTTGAGCCAGGCGTCTGTGATATGTGCGCACCGTTGTGTGGCTGGTTCCTTAGCCAAGCGCTGTCAGCCAATAGCATGTCGAATGCATAGTAGACATGGCAACGTGTACGCATGTGTAGGGTACGTGGGTTAGGGGAATCACTACAGCCCGGAGTTTGCTCGTGTGCAACTTGGTACATGGGCGGTGATGGATTACATGACGGGGGATGGGGATAGTAACTTGTTAATATCTGGTTATCCACGGCAGGTTAAGAGGAAATGGGGTCAGTGTATGATAAGGAATTTGAGAGCGATTCACAACACTATTATAACAGAGCCTGTTATGGAATCGGGCCACTGGCTACTCGCATTCTGACACGGCCGACAATCCGTGTTACTAAGCTAAACCCCAGGCGCTTGTCCGTACGATCTATCGCGGGCTGTGAACACATGGCGCGCACCGGGCGCTAGGCACAATACGAGTGGCGCATTGAAGCGCGTAGGCCACAGGTTACTTTGGTCACACCGCTAAATTGCATGTGCACCGGTAGACATGGACCCATGCACTGGTGAGATGACACCAGCGCAGAAATCTTTCTGGCATCCTGCGATTACGATGGGCGACGTATCAACGTGGACAATAAGATGGTAATGCAGCTGACATATGAGTTGTCTTAGTGCTTGTTCCACGGCTAGCCCGTAATGCGCCTCAAAGCAACGTGTAAAAGTTACACTGAGTATTGTTTAGTAGTGAATGCTCAAGGAGTCCCGTAGGTTGGTAGGATGTAGACGACAAAATCTAAAGAGTATAGTGAAACTACAGTTAGGCGTATACTAATACTGCGGTGATACAATCATGTGCTATGGGTAGAGAAGTAGTGATGCAAGATGAGGCTGAGAATTGGATGACTACAGAGGGAGCGACTTACGGGCTGGTTGCACGCCGTCGCGTGCTCCCGCAGGTAACGAATGGAGGAATGTCTTCCTACTGAGGGCAAGTGTGAATGAGTCTCGCTTGTTCCGCAAATGTGTTCAATAGGCAGCCGCAGGCAATCAGCGCAGCATATCAGAGCGTGGGAATTTCGAGGCTGGCCATCTGGTTATGTAGTAAATACCACGAAGCCAATATTTCCGGATATAGGGTTAGGGACCAACCACTTTTTATCCGGAATGAAGTACCTAACGGAGGGTGGATGAACAACCTAGATTACTACTCGCTTCTGTGTGGACTACCATAGACCATTAATATGACATTTGAGCCACTTGTCTGTCGACTATGTTTGCAATCAGCAACGAGTCGTGTTTCAGTTAACGATTCATAGTCATTTTACTCCTATTCTCGTACTGTTTTGGTGTCATAGGTAGTTTGTTGACCCTCAAAAGTCGTCTTATCGGCTCTCGACGGTTCGTGACATATGTTAATCGCCTCACTGCTTTGCGGGTAAGGGCTTTAAGAACTAAGGCGTTGGCTCGGGTTACAGAAGTTAACCGCTTCTCCTACCTGGGTAACTGAAAAGCTCCATGTGCAGACAACACACTTGCACATGAATTTACGTAATCCTCGGATCGTTTGCAGAACACATGCACGCCAAACTTATCGGGAGACATAAGTGAAGAAGCCACGGACCAGGCTGGTGTACGAATTGTGTTTACTGCGCGCGCAGAAGCAGCGTTACTTGTTTGGATTCTAATTAACGACTAATCCTGTGCAATTTAAGTAGAAGTCTCCATACGATTGTGCAGCTGCGAGATAACCAATCACTGTTAGTTTCACACAGCAGCGCATGTTCCCACGAGTTGCAGTTCGGACTCAGCTAAAGATGAGTTCTATCGTCAACTCTCCGACCTACTCCATAAGAATCATTGCAATTATATGGTGGTTCTCATCTGCGACGATAAGAACATGGACATTGGGTCTCTTCTCGGTCTCTGGAACTTATCGACGCTCGCCGGCATATCCCGGCTGGAATCGAGCACAATGAAACTCGCAAAGAGCTCCGGGCAAAACTCCGCGCTAGCCTGAAGAGGGACCGCGAATCTTTATGGTCTCATCGTGCATCAGAGATGGAAATGGCCGCTGCCCTTGGCAACCATCGTAAGTTATTCCGTCTGATACGGGAAACGGGCAGCAGGAGACCTGGTGTTAGTGAAACAATTTGTGATGAGAGTGGACAGCCTATCCACAATTTGTCAAAACGTTTGGAGCATTGGGCTGAGCATTTTGAAAAGCAATTTAGTCGGCTAGAATTGTTCGATTCGTCGGTCACTGATCGCCCTGCTCCGTGGGCTGTACCTTTGGATCCACCCTCTTGCTCAGAAGTCGAACGTGAGATCGGACTGTTGAAGTTGAACAAAGCCGCGGGACCAGATGATCTTCCTCCAGCCCTCTTCAAATTCGGAGGCTCTGCTCTTGTTGATGCTTTACATGAAATACTAGTGAAACTGTGGGAGCAGGAGACTATCCCAACCGACTGGAGCCGCTCCGTTATTGCTCCCATCTTCAAAGGCGGCTCGCGCTCGGAATGCGGCAGCCATAGAGGAATCAGTCTGATCTCCATCGCCTCCAAATTACTCGCGTCCATAATTCTTCCCAGACTGACTGGCGCTCGTGAAAGCCAGATTCGTGAGGAGAAAGCCGGGTTTCGTCGTGGTCGTGGCTGAATCGACCACATCTTTACCTTGCGTCAGTTGTTGGAGCACCGTCACACATATTGGCGGCCCACCCTAGTCGTGTTCCTCGACATCAAAGGTGCCTTCGATTCGGTTGATCGATGTGCCCTTTGGAATTGTTTACTCAGGAAAGGTGTGCCCGAGAAATATGTAAATATTATCCGTGCATTATACGCGCGTAGCACGGGCAGAGTGAAGGCTTACGGCAAGCTGTCGCCACCCTTCAATATCTGCAGCGGTATGAGACAAGGATGCCCGCTGTCACCTTTCCTCTTCAGCTTCGCTATTGACGAAGCCATGGAGTTTCCATTCACAGGACATGACTTGGAAGGTGTGGAGCTACTCCCAGGAGAACGACTTCTTGACTTGGAGTATGCAGACGACATTGCCCTCATCTGTGACAGCTCCCAGACGTACCAAGCCGCGCTGGACAGATTAGCACTGGCTGTCAGCCGCTTCGGGCTTTGCTTCGCACCATCGAATTGCAAAGCATTCCTCAAGATTGGCAGGGATCGTCTCCTGCGTTGACCCTTGGTGGGGATCAGCTAGAAGTCGTTCGGCAATTCAATTACCTGGGAAGTTGTATCAGCGCCCTTGGGATCGAAGACGAGATCACGAACCGTATAGCGAAAGCTCGAAGTGCTTTTGCTAACCTTCGCCACTTATGGTGTCGGCGCGACATCACTCTCGCCCTGAAGGGTAGAGTGTACAATGCAACGGTACATTCGAGCTTACTGTGCGGTTGCGAAACCTGGCCCCTAAGGTCGGCGGACATGAAGAGGGTAGTTACGTTCTACCATCGGTGCCTTCGCAGTTTGACTCACATCTGGTGGGAACACCGCGTGAGCAACAAGCGTGTTCGACGCATTGTTTACGGCCCAGGAAAAGGATCTGAACCTTTCAGCACCGTTATTTCCCGCACCAGGCTCCGATGGCTAGGCCACGTGTTACGCATACCAGCCCACCGACTCCCGCGACGTGTGTTGTTTGCGCGCTGGGGGTGTGGGTGGAAGAAGACGAGAGAGGGCGAAGCGATGACTTGGTCCAGGGGAATGAAGTCCCTCACTTCGAAGCTGGCCTCGGTTGGAGCATCCTGGCTCCCTGGTTGGGGTCCTAAAGACGGTGAACACGTTTGGCTGGATACACTTGCTGACATGGCAAGGAGCCGTCGTCAGCGGCATTT